AAAAATTTTTGAAAAAAATATAATAAATAAAACTAGTATTAAGATATAATATACTGTATATGAATTTTATAATTTTTAGTTGCGTAATTAAGGATTTAAAAATTGTTAAAGTTTAAATTTATAATAAAAACATAGTAATGGATTCAAACTTTTGGAAACAACTGTATTTTAATATTCTTAATAATAATAATATTTTTGGATAAACTTTATTAGATAGGTTATAATAAGTTATAATTGTTATAATTTTCTATATAAAAATATTCAATTCAATAAATATTAATCTAATTAATTTTTAATAATTTTATTTAGAATATTAATTTCAAATTAAAAAAAAAATGGTTAATAATTTGAATCAAGGAAGAAGGATTTTTATTAATCTCTGCATTTAAATACAGAAATTCACCACAGAAACCAAATTTTCGTATTTGTTTGCAACAGTTTTGTAGACATGAATGCCTCGACCTGCCGTTATAGGAAAGTTTTCATAAAAAGCGTGACCGAAAAGCGTTAGTTCACAATTTCACAATACGAAAATTTTAATCGCTAATTTGATTAATTCAGATTACCGTATTCGCATTTATCTAATAAACGTTATGCTTTCAATTCTAAAAAAAATCGAGCATTATTGACGAATGCCGACTAACCTATCAGCAAGAAGTTACAGTACATGTTTCTTGATCATCCATAGGTAATAGATTTGCAGAGGCCAAGTATAGTTGAACTATTGTTGAATAAGTAATGTATTGTACAATATGTTATAATATAACGTTAAAGTACTGTTGAAGTATGGCAATACAGTACATGCTACGGCCTGCACTATTTTCGTATTTGTCAAGGATCACTTTATAATCTGAGAAGCCGAAGATCATCAATAGGAGTCAAAGATGACCATCTTCTCCAATCTCACAGTTTATCTTTAACACATGTCAACACGATCGGTACTGATGCGAAAGATGCAACTGATATCAATGCGGATAATATAAATTCGCCTTCCTATAAGTGGTTAGCAATTCCTCCCTTAGAACTCGCTATTCCAACATTGTATTTATTTTACTGTATACCGTGCCTAGTCTACCGAGACCGTTTCATATATAAAATTAAAAGGTTTTATTTTTCTGCATTCGTTACTAATTTTGATATGCGTTGCCAGGTGATTTAATCTGACATCTGACTTCCAAGTTGTTAGTATTCTAAAAGATTTTTTATTTATGATAACGTAATACGTAGTAATAGAGTTGCAGCACAGTATTGTAAGGAAGTACGTACGTACGTATTTGCTGTGGGAATTTTATTAAAATTGCTACATTATGCACATAGAATTTCGAATTTCTTCTGATACATGCAGTACGTTATTAATGTCTCCTTATCGGAATAAAGGAATGCATATTTAAAGTTACGATTAATTTTTGTGCAAAGACACTTAAATATAAGACGAATAGATTCTATTACTGTATGTCTGAATATAAAAATTTAATGAAAACATCGCAAAGATGTGTATGTAATTGATTTTCCAAAATATTCGATCTGTTATATGAAAGGTCGCTATACGATTTTAATATTCCCATACTGTATGCGTATATCATGATTGCGTATCTGTAGCTAACTTTTAATTTCTTTCTTTTGGTCTTAGTATGCAATGCTGAAAAAGGATATGAGTTACGTAAGCTTCCTAAAAAAAAATGTACAAAAAAAAATTTTTTTTATTAATTGTGCATATAAGAAAGATCTTCCGAATACGCTTACAGCTCTTTTCATGTAAAAAAAATATATAGAAATTCAAATAATCATGAATTTTGTGAAAGAAGAAAAAAGTAGCGGAATCTATTGTTATAATTATAATGATTCCTCCAAAACTCATGAAGTATCAAGAATGGATATAAACCGGCTCAGTTGTGATTTTTCATCAGATAGTGAAAATGTGAAGTATGAAAAGTATTTGACCCAGAGGAGATTCCATGAACGGCAAGAGCAGGAGGCCCGTGATAAGCTGGAACGAGAAAGGAAATTAAGAAAATTAGAACAACAAGAACGAATTTACGATAATTTATTGAGTGCAATTAAACGCAGCGATAATCCTGAAGAATATTCTCACGTTAGTTTAGATTACGAAGTCCTACGAAATGGTCGAACGCTAGAAAAATTAAAAACCACACAAAAAGAACGCCGTCAAGAGCTAGAGAAAGAAATTAGAAATATATTGGTAATTGGATACACGGGTAGTGGCAAATCTACATTATGCAATGTACTGGCCAATAAAGATAATGAATTCACCGAAATATTTAAGGAGTCTGATGGTCACGCGAGTGGGACTAGAAGTATTCAAGCTGAGGTGTTCGAACACAAAAGAATAAAATACCGAGTAATTGACACAATAGGATTCGGCGATACGAAGTTGAAGCCAAGGGAGATCATACTTGCAATAGCTGAGAGCTATAAAAAGATCGAAAATGGATTAAACCAGGTTTTTTTTGTAATTAATCAAAGGTTTGATCCCAAGACATTAGAAATGTATAAAACATTAAGAAGTGTTCTATTTGATGAAGGAATTACCGATTACATTACTGTTGTAGGAACTCATGCAAATTATTTTAAAGATAAAAATAAATGTAAGGAAGCCGTCCAAAAACTAATCGAAGAGGACAACAAGGAGGTTATTGAAATTATTAAATTGTGCGGTGAAAGGTTCATTCATGTAAACAACCCATCAATTGATTACGAAGAAGACGATGATAGTATTAAAAAAATTAAGGAAAAGCGTGAAGAATCAAGAAAAATTCTATTAAATCACTTAGAAAGTTGCCGAAAAGTATATAAGCCAAAGGATTCGGACGAAATAAACAAAAAAATAGATAGAGTTGTGATACGTGAAATTAAAAATTTGCGAAAAGAAAAAAGTAGTTTAGAAGAAGAATTGAGAAAAACGGAGATGTATAATAGTTCGGAAAAGGTTCAATCGACAAAAGATAGAATAAATGCGATAGAAGAACAAATAGAGATTGAAGAAGCACTTCTTGAAGAATCGGTGCTTAGTGTTATTGGCAAAAAAATAGATGAATTGCTGAAAAGAATTTCAAAGTGTAGAATTATGTAAAAAAAAAAAAGAAGAAGAAGAAGAAAAGAAAACAAAATCACGTAGATACTCAATCCTTCGCCTGTTGATTAGCAAAATACAGCATGCGCGGAAGAATATAACATTATCAGAAATTGAATTTTATTGAATTTTTCGAACTGTTTATTATTAGAATTTACAACAATTATCGTCCCCGGTAGCTGTTTACTTTTCGAACCAACGAATTTCAACGCGCGAGATTTAATCTAGCTTTACATTTTCACATTCGAATGATTTTTTTTTCTTTTTTTTTTTTTTTTAAAAAAAAATATCAGCATAGTTTAATGGGCTCCATTATACAGTATATAACATACAGGATAAGTGCTACAAATGCAAAATCTCTTGCATTCCTTCTATCAAAGGCGGATGAACATGCCAATTCTTTCAATTTCAGAATTTAAAGTTTTTATATTGCGTCCCATGTTAACGGTGTTAAGTAATTGCACTTATAATACACACACGATAATTTATATTGGAGTTAACTAATTAGTCCCGAATAGCGTTCGATAGGTTATCATTATTATTATTTTTTTTTTTAATAATAAAAATTTGAATACGTATCATATTGGCTTTTATCCCTGACTCCCCCTTTAGAGAACTCACCCATATTTCTTCTTTTGTTAATATATAAAGTATGATTACAATATAAATCGTAACATTTGTAAATAAGAAAAAAAAAATTACCGCATTTTGAAATGTGGCGTAGTTTTAGAGGATCGAAGCACGGATGCAAGGTTTGTGATGAATGCATTGTAAACATTCAAAAATGTAGAGGACGGAATATGTAAGCAACAAATACAATATGTAATAACGCAAAAATATATTCTCACTCCAATTATTCTCCATTACCTCACTGACCTTTTAAACATTTACGTTGTTGCATGATAGACAAGTTTCAATAGTCGAAACAATCGCTTTTTCTTATCACTACGTATATTTAAATAATAAACCAGAAAACTGATATTATTATTCATTTTTCTTATAGACAATAAATCTTTCGGATTTATTTCCAGTAAAGTAGTTATGATTTTCTCGCTTACTCAAATTGTTTCTTTGAAACTATTTGTGATGTTTCTTTCCGAACCATTTTTATAATATCAGCAATTTAGAGATTAGTTAATCCAAATACTAACACTATATGACATTCATGAACCTAGTCAACACTAATACCCTCAATTTCTTCCTTGATTATAGAACCAGTAATTTTACCAACCAATTTACAAACTTTCATACTTCTTGAGTTTTTCTACAACTTCATCTCGGAGACAACGGAGAAATAGCTATAATCATATAATGAACTTGATTTTTTTACGTTTCTTCGGAATCTCAGCTTAAATAGCATATCAGCAACACTGCTTTGATATGCCTTTAAAAATATACTGCCATTTTTACTTAAAATTATTTTTGAGCTCTCACCCATTTTTATCACTACATACCTATTTATATATTAATTTTATAATCTCGTCTCGTGATGATTCCTTCGTATATAATAAGGTAAGAGTTTTTCTTGTGGACAGACAGGTTGCTTGTAAATTATGTATTATCTATTTTCTAATTATGTAGTATTTGTAATTTAGAAGAAATATCGCTTGATCTTGCTCATAACTTTATACTCTTTCAACAAACTGTAGTCTGACAAATTGGTTTACATTGATTATTAAAAGATAACTCTTGATATTTAAGCTTCTTCTCTCTATTCAATTCTTTAATTGCGTTTCTTGTCTATTTTTATGTACAACTTCGGAAATTTGATCTCCTTATTTCAGAAGATCTGGATTCCATGCAAGTTGACGATGCGAAGCATAAAGTTTTTGTCTCTTGACATATTGTACACCAGAAATTGAAGCATCATGAGTTATATCATATGCAGCAGTATTATCACAACATAAATTTATCTGTTCAGTGTACGGTATCACCCTTTAATGATTTTGAGTTAGTATCAACACGTTAGTTTATAGCATATCGGATATATTAACATCATTCTCGGAATAAATTTTCTTTTTTAGTGATCGTTCTAGTCCCATCATTGAGTTTATTGCCTCTTTTTGACATTTAGCTCAATTCAATTACTCTTACCAAAGGCTCCACCTCCTTGAAAAAAAGCTCGGTTTCTGTCGTTTTAGCCTTGTCATCTTGGCTTTAAGTTTAGAATTCTTTTCTCCAAGTAAATCAATTCTCACTCGTTTTTTATATGCAGTAAAATGTTGATTATTTGAGAAAATATCTGTCCATTATTTTCGACTGTATCTTTTGATTGACTGGATAGGTAATAAACTAAAAATGATATTTACTAACCGCTTTGTAAGTACTGCATATAAGATGGAGTTATTTTTTGCCATTTTTGATATATTTATTCGATACGTATTCACTTTCACCTGTATTTACGAATAAATGATACGTAATCAATGCCTAGCATAGTGATAAATTTAATGAGAAACAAATGCATTATTGAATAATAAAAAAATTCTTTTGCATATCCGTAGGTATCACTCCATGATACGTAGTCATCATTCCTAAAAAATTTTACAATCGTTCATTTTCTTATTCATACGAAACGTAGATTAAACTCACGAAAATCTAATGCTCAAGAATATCGATTTAATTTTTTGTCCACTGTTC